GGTCCCCTCGGGGCCCCGTCTTGCTGCTCTGCGTGGTGGCTGTTCCTCGCTGACCCCCAAGTCTTCTGAAACACCTTCTCGTCTGGGTCTGTGCGACCCCGCCCGGCTCCCCATCTTCCCTCTTGGCTGGCTCTCCCTCCTCTTCCCGCCCTGGAAGTCCCAGGCCTCTGTTCTCAGAGCACCCCCAGGGGCCCTCCGCCAGCACCTGGGCTTCGAACAGCGTCTCTCCTCCCGGGACTCCCGGATTTCCGGTCCCGGTTTCCCGCTGGAGGCCTTCCAGCCGCCAGCCCGCAGCTCCTTTCTCCCGGCTCCTGCACCTCCTTCCGGGCTGTTGGCGGCCTCTCCCCTAAGGCTGCCGACCCCTCTCTCTCTCACCGCCACAGCCAACCTGTCAGCACCTTCTGGCAGCTCACCCTTCACAGCGCACCCGGCTCTGACGACTTACCACCTCCGCCGCCCTTCTGCGGTCTGGGCCACCACCTTCGCCTCCCCTCCAGCCCTTCCTGCTGCATCAGATGATATCGGGTCCAAGGGGAAAAGGTCAGTTTTCATTCCAATCCCAAAGAAAGGCAATGCCAAAGAGTGCTCAAACTACCGCACAATTGCACCCATCTCACACACTAGTAGAGTGATGCTCAACATTCTCCAAGCCAGACTTCAGCAATATGTGAAGCGTGAACTTCCAGATGTTCAAGCTGGTTTTATTTATTTTTTTAGTTAGGAAAAGTTTTTTCATTTAATACTAGACTTTTAAGGATTGAGATGCAAGCTTTTTATGCAATCAAGCTGGTTTTAGAAAAGGCAGAGGAACCATTGCCAACACCCGCTGGATCATCGAAAAAGCAAGAGTTCCAGAAAAACATCTATTTCTGCTTTATTGACTACCCAAAGCCTTTGACTGTGTGGATCACAATAAACTGTGGAAAATTCTGAAAGAGATGGGAATACCAGACCACCTGACCTTTCTCCTGAGAAACCTGTATGCGGGTCAGGAAGCAGCAGTTAGAAGTGGACATGGAACAATAGACTGGTTCCAGATAGGAAAAGGAGTACATCAAGGCTGTATATTGTCACCCTGCTTATTTAACTTATATGCAGAGCACATTATGAGAAACGCTGGGCTGGAGCATTTCTGGAATCAAGACTGGAATCAAGCTGGAATCAAGACTGCTGGGAGAAAAATCAATAACCTCAGATATGCAGATGACACCACCCTTATGGCAGAAAGTGAAGAAGAACTAAAGAGCCTCTCGATGAAACTGAAAGAGGAGAGTGAAAAAGTTGGCTTAAAGCTCAACATTCAGAAAACTAAGATCATGGCATCCGGTCCCATCACTTCATGGCAAATAGATGGGGAAACAGTGGAAACAGTGTCAGACTTTATTTTTGGGGGGCTCCAAAATCACTGCAGATGGTGACTGCAGTGATGAAATTAAAAGATGCTTGCTCCTTGGAAGAAAAGTTATGACCAACCTAGACAGCATATTAAAAAGCAGAGACATTACTTTGCTAACAAAGGTCCATCTAGTCGACTATAGTTTTTCCAGTAGTCATGTATGGATGTGAGAATTGGACTGTAAAGAAAGTTGAGCGCTGAAGAATTGATGCCTTTGAGCTGTGGTGTTGGAGAAGACTCTTGAGAGTCCCTTGGACTGCCAGGAGATCCAACCAGTCCATCCTAAAGAAGATCAGTCCTGGGTGTTCATTGGAAGGTCTGATGTTGAAGCTGAAACTCCAATACTTTGGCCACCTGATGCGAAGAACTGACTCCTTGGAAAAGACCCTGATGCTGGGAAAGATTGAGGGCAGGAGGAGAAGGGGACGACAGAGGATGAGATGGTTGGATGGCATCACCAACTCAATGGACATGAGTTTGGGTAAACTCTGGGAGTTGGTGATGGACAGGGAGGCCTGGCATGCTGCAGCTCATGGGGTTGCAAAGAGTCGGACATGACTGAGTGACTGAACTGAACTGGCTCTAAGGGGACAATCACCAGTGGCTTCTCACGGCTTGTAGAATAAAACTCCAAGTTCAGACCATGGCCTTTAAAGCCCCGCACGGCTGGTCCCCATGGGTCTCTGAGCTGCCCCCAACTACTTTTCCTTTGGTCATTTTCTCCAGCCACACTGGCCTCCTTTCTCTTCTCCAAGTGTGTGAGGCTCACTCTGCCTGGAGAGAACCCCAGAGAGAACCCCTTGCCCAGCTCCCTCACCACCTGCAGGTCTCTGTGCAAATGTCACTTTTCCAGAGAGACAAACCGTCCCTGACTTCTTACCTCTCATTTTCCCTGCCAGTTTCCACCAATCTTGACTTTGCCACCCAGGATGGCATCATCTGTCTGTATTTATTAACTGGGCACCTTTTCAAGGCTTCTGGCTCCTTGGCTTTCTGGGGCCTGCCAGGGGCACCAGAACCCCTGGGAGATAGCAGCAGGCTAGAGGTGGCTTCTGTAGGCTGGCACAGTGCCCTTCCTTCCGGCGTGTCAACACAGAAATCAGGGTGGCTACTTAAATCGATCAGGAACTGTGCAAATACTGCTATCAGGGGATTGTCGGCTGTTATCAGTCCAGAGGCAAAGGTGTTTGGTGGAAGAGCTTAGCTGATAAGCAGAAATCTCCTGACCCCAAGGCTGGAAGATCTGGCCCCAGTGGGGGGATGGGGGGGTGGGGGGAGGTGGTGACCTACTCGGGGTGCCCAACCTCTTGGCTCACTCAACCCACACGGGGGCTCTAGTGCTATGGGTCCTTTGCCCAGATTGGGCCAGCTGCTGAGAACATGCTTTCCCTCCTAGTGCAGACCATACAGTCCCTGGTCAGGGAGTCTGCGGTTTAGGAGCTGGGCAGGTCTGGCTACACCATCCCAGACCCCACTGCTGCCCGACAGGCAAACCACCCGGGTCCCAGAGCACGTGATCGAAGCTCTCTCGCCTGTTGCCACCTACAGTTCAGAGCCCAGGGTGGGGCTTGGCACGTGGTGGTGTTTGTTGTCGTGTAGTCGTTCAGTCGTGTCCGACTCTAGCAACCTCATGGACGGCAGCCCGCCAAGCTCCTCTGTCCAGGAATTTCCCAGGCAAGAACACAGGAGTGGGTTGCCATTTCCTCCTGCAGGGGATCTTCCAGACCCAGGAATAGTACCCGCGCCCCTTAGGTCTCCTGTATTGGCAGGCAGGTTCTTTACCACTAGTGCTACCTAGGAAGCCCTTGGTATACAGTAGTCTCAGGAAATATTCACAGTTAAACTGACCATTGAGAGGCAAGGTCTGGGCCCCAGGGAAGGAAATGTTGGGCGGTTCCCCCTCCCTACCTCGACCCAGTCGCTGCCCTCTCAGCAGGGATGCATCTGGCCCTCACAGTGGCCCCAGCCAGCAGGTACTACGAGCAGCCTCACTTTCCAGATGTGGCATAGAGGCTCAGAGATGTAACGACACTTGCCCAAGGCCACGGAGCCTGGGAGTGGCAGAGCTGATGTGAGTCCGGGATGCAGCGGTCTGCTTATGATCACCCCTAGATGGGGTGTCGGGGCTCACACTATCAACACCCCTCCCTTGAACGCGCTGCCCCGAGGCAGAGAGGCCGGGGTGCAGGTCCTTCTCGCCCCGGGACAGGGGGCGTTCCTGGCTCCGGTGGGCAGGGCCCGGCTCCTCAGCACTAATGGGTTACCCTCCTTCCCTCCAGCTGGTCCGGCCCCCCAGCACATGCCCACTCCTACCGCAGACCATGATGGCTCCATTAGCAGGCCCGCGTGCTACTGGCCTGGGTGGCCAGAGGCTTTTAATGAGACCATGGAAGCTGAACACTTGGGGCCAGCCAGCTGGACCAAGGGCACAGCGGCCGCCGAGCCTGGGCGGGGGGGCAGACAAGCACTCGAGTCAGAGGGGAAAGCAGGGGGCAGAGCGCGGACAGGAAGGAATGATGTCACCCCAGGGCCCGAGTCAGAAACTGTCGTGCTCTCCGTTTTGAGGGGTGACTCCAGCTGGTCCCCACTCCAAGTCTCGGTCTCCTGCTCTGGATAACGATGCCAACGATGGCAGTGCCCATCGCCCAGGCCGTGGACGCATGAGGACTGACCGATGGAAACCACTCGGCAGGCACTGACGCGTGCAGCGCATCCATTCACTCACTGATTTTGTGAGTATTTAGAGCACCTACTGTGTGAGGCATCACGTCTGGGGACACAGCAGCAGAGACGCACAAGTCCTGACTCTCAGGGAGAGGATGTGTGAGCGGGGGAGGCAGGGGACAAAGAAACAGAACATAGGACAGAGTGGGGTGCAGGGTGCACGGCAGGGCTGCCGTTGCTGAGGGAGGTGCTCCCTGCGGGGGACGAGGCAGTGAGCCACGCAGGGCTCCGTGGGCAGAGTTCAGGCTCAGGAAGGGCCTGTGCAAAGGCCCCGAGCCAGCGGCATGTCTGACGGTGCCCGGGGAGGCACAGCGAGGAGGCTGGTGTGGCCTAAGCGGGGTGAGCCGACGGGGGGAGGGAAGTGACGGAAGGGGGGATGGGGGCCAGGCGGTGCCGAGGAGCTGGTGTTTTGTTCTAAGTAGACCAGGGACAACAGGCCAGTGGTGTGAGCTCATGGGGGATCCGACAGGATCCTCCCGGCTGCCTGTGGACAGCAGACAGTGGAGGGCTGAGGTGGAGGTGGGGAGGCCACGGAGGAGGCTTCTGCCACAGTCCAGGCCGGAGGACAGTGCTGGACCAGGGAGGGGATGGTGGATGCTGGATACAACTCGAAAGCAGAGCCAGGAGACTTGCTAATGGTGTGGATGTGGAGTGACAGAGGGGAGGAACTGAGGATGACGCCCAGGTCTCTGGGTCAAGCAAGGACACAGCTGCCACCTGTGTGCGATGGGAGACAGGGTCCCCACAGCCTGAACCCCATTCCTGTGCACGCACGTACACACACACGGGTGTGTGAGTCGCCATCAGAATGGCGCAGACACTAGGTAGGTCTCTGGCCCCTGGGGAAACCGAGGCAGGCAGCGGGGCTGCGGGGACTCACCCACGCCCAGCATCACAAGGGGTGTTTGCTCCCAGCGGGTCAACAGCAGGAGGTGGACCACGTTGTGGGCGATGAGGCTGAAGCACAGGACCACACAGCACCACTCCTGGAAGCGCTTGCCTGCGGGGAGAAGGGGCGAGAGTGAGTGCAGGGCGGCGGGCCAAGGCCTCAGGATCAAGGATCAGACCCAGGTGGGGCCGGTCCCGGCCGGGGGGCGGTGCTCTCTGACTGTGTTCCATGAGTCTGCAGTGCAGACCGCAGGCTGAAAGTGCAGGGACAGCCTGCGCATTTCACAGAGTGTCACTGAGGCCCAGAGAATGGGACAGGTCTGTCCAACGTCATATACTCCGGGCCAGCTGTGTTAAACCAAGCCCTTCTGCACATAGGCCTGCTGCCCACGAGGCTGGCCTTACATGTGCTGAGTCTTTGGCAGACAGAACCGGAACACTGGTCTTGTGGGCCCCTTCCAGCTCTCTCTGGAGACCCCTGAAGGAATTTTAATGAGCTTCTTTTTTTTTAAATTCCCATTATTCCATCACCTGCCCCCTTCCGGTAGGCAATTATTTGGAAGCGCTACAAACAGCTTTTAATTATGCACATTCAGACCCTGCCCCACGTCCATCAAGTGAGGCTCCAGGCAATGAGTCAGGAGTTCAGGAGAAACTGACCATGGTTATCACTTCCAGGGCTCCAGCCACAGGGCTGATGAGGGGGTCTCCAGCTCTTAACATCTCCAGGGGCTGGACAGGTGGTTTGAAGCAGTGAGTTGGGCTGGGTGGGAGGAGTGGGACACCGTGGCACATGTACCCTTCCTAAAGCACTAGGCACTAACTGGCTGACTATTGCCAGGACAGGGAGTGTGGGCCCAGGGAGGTCAGACCCTCTAATTCTCAAGAGGAGCCAGAAATCAGGATGCAGGTGTGAAACCGTCTCTATAATTCTGGCACATATTTTTAATATCCTGTGGGCTGGGACAGGCTGATTTCACTCAACTGCAGCTTTGTTGAATGTATCGAAACATTGAGAATAACCTCAGTGTCCACTGCCTGGGGAATCAGACAAGTTAATTTGGTTTACAGTGTCTCTGTTGCTAGGCAAAAAGCCTGGGTGACTGTTCCGATGTGGCTGATGGAGGGACTGGATATTCAGGACAAACTGTTAAGTACAAACAGCAAAGTGCCAAACATCCATTTACGTAAAAAAAGAGAAAAAACAAACAACTGTAGAGTTAAGACTGTCTTTTCGCCTCCTTTTGAATTTAAAATTTATGAATGCGATATTTCAGCAAAAATCTCATAATTATACATTAAAATTTAAAAACGCCAAAGGAAATAAAAACACCGTATGGGTGACGCAGCATGTGACATGGCCCCCAGGAACAGTTTTCTCAGGCAGCTGGTCTCAAGGACAAATCTCTTGCAGATCTCTCTGTGGAACCTCCACCTCCAGGAAGCCACCCATGATTCCTCCTTTAATGCCTGGGATCCCTGACCACGGGGCCCATCATGAGAAACTCTGCCTGCATAACGTCCCCCCTCCCCTCCCTCAATGTCAACTCAGGAGGCCTAGGACCGTGCCTGCCTTGCACAGCAGGGCCCCAGCATGCATTGGTGTTTAATAAATGCTTGTGGAATAACAAATTCCTAACTATGATCCTAGAGGAGAACTGCCAGGCTCTGCTTCTGGGCACCCTTCACTGAAGCGCTGCATGACAGGGAACAGGCTCAGAGAGAGAACGGGCCTCGTCCATGCTGCAGAGAGTGGACTGCGCTCCAAGCCAGAGCCAGAACTTCCACCCTGTGAGAAGACCACGGCTCAGAGTGGGCAGAGGACACACCCAGGGCCGCATCCCTTGTACAGACGGGGGCCTTGGGGCCCAGACAGGGCCAGGGTCCTCAAGGCCTCACGCGGTGGCAGCTACAGAGGCCCCTCGCCGCCCATTCCGCAGTCAGGGGCTGCTCCCTTGGCACCACGGGGCCCCGCCACCCCAGTGGGCTGCTCCCTTGGCACCACGGGGCCCCGCCACCCCAGTGGGCTGCTCCCTTGGCACGGTGGCCCCACCGGGGTCACCATGACCTGACCAGGAGGTCAGGTCAGGAAAACCTGAAGGGTTTTCCCTTTTGTGGCTCTGGTCTGCGGCCAGGGTGGGGGGCTGAGAAGCAGGAAGCTGGGAGGGCCAGTGGTCAGGGACGGGAGATTCTTCAGTATGATCTGCCGCCCCCCCAGCCTGCAGCGCCAGCAGTGAGATTAAGTGACAGGAACAACAACCAGGCCAATCGCCAGCTGGGTACAGGGTGCGGCCCACGCCAGAGACTCTGCAGACCCACTCCCTCTGTCTTATCTCATTTACCTATCTATGGCCGCACTTCAGTCTTTCCCAGCACCAGGGTCTTTTCTAAGCATGAGATGGTTGGATGGCTTCGCATCACTGACTCAATGGACCTAAGTCTGAGCAAGCTCTTGGGAGGTGGTAAAGGACAGGGAAGCCTGGGGTGCTGCAGTCCATGGGGTCGCAGAGTCGGACAGGACTGAGCGACAGAACAAACGGCTGCACTGGGTCTTCTTGGCGACACATAGGCTTTCTCTGGTTGTGGAGTGCAGGCTCAGCTGCCCTGTGGCACGTGGGATCTTCCCGGAGCAGGGATCGAACCCACGTCCCCTGCACTGGCAGGCAGATTCTTACCCACTGTAATACCAGGGAAGTCCCTCCTGCTGCCATATCTTGCTCTTAGTTTTTTTTTTTCAAAAAGGAGCTACACTTAAAAAAAAACACACCTTAAATTCCTATTTTCTTGCTTCCTTTAAGAACACAGGCTCTGGCCACCCCAGGTCGGAGCCCCCCCTCAGACGGGGCAGAGCTCCCGGCTCACCCCAGCCCACTCTCTTCCCTGCGGCCTCAGCCTGGGGGGTTTCCCCTGGTGGCAGTGCTGGCTGGGTCCCTGCAGTCATCTGGGTTTGCAAACCTGAGGCATAGTCTTTCATTCAAGTCTGCGTGCCTCGAGGGAGGAACTGTGTGATCCCACTTCTTGGATGAGGAAACTGAGGCTCAGCAGGTAAAAACCTAGAGCTGGGTTTGGATCCTGTGCCTGTAAGTGGGACACCTGAGCCTGGATGTTTGGGGCTAGCCCAACTCTCTCCCTTTGCCATGGACAACGTCCTGAAATCTGAGTATTTTCCCATCTAAACTGTCTCTCTAGGCTCTGGGATCTGGAGTCTTCTGCAGAACAGTGCCTCAACTATGATCCAGAAAAAAACACATCTATCGTAACAAGCGGCATTCACAGAGCACATCTTACATGCCAGGTACACTGCCAGGGAGGATCCCAGCCAGCGCGGCCTGCCGTACCCCGAACGCTGGGGGCTCGCTGCCCCGACCTTCAGAGGGGGAAGCTAGGCCTAGAGAGGTGAGGTGTCCGAAGTCCCTCGAGAGTCACCAAAGTCAACACGGACAGTTAGCCGGGCCGGGACCGCACGGTCAAGGGGTCTAAATGGTGTCACGTCACAGATGGGCGGGCTGAGGCCGGGGAAGGGAAGGCCTCTCCTCCGGAGAGAGGGCTCGGGCCGCCTCTGGCACAGTGCCGGGCCTTGATTCCCTAAGCCAGCCCCTGGCTTGACCACGATCGGGGCCAAGGGACACAGGTGATGCCTGCGGCCTGGGGAGGGGCCGGGCTGGCAGGGGTGGGGCGGGGGGCACCTCTGCCTTCCTGGGGACAGGTCACAGCCGGAGGCCTGGCACCGGGCCTGGCTCTTCTGGTTTCAGTCAGACAAGGCCTGGAATCTGCCCTTAAGGTGGGTCCCGGGCCACTAGGAGACCCTTGGCCTCAGGGGGGTGGGGGACAGGAGGCAGCGGGGAGGCAGGACCCAGAGAGACGCAGAGGAAGACAGACAGACAGACGGGGGAGAACGGCATCAGAGACACAGAGGTGAGAGGCAGGGAGAAGAGCGGGGAAGAGACGGGGGTCTCTCTACACACACGGAGACGGAGAGAATGAGTGTGGCCAGAGAGAGGGAGAGACAGACACGGCAACGAGGGACACAACCCGGGCCAGGAGTGTGACGGACCAGCCTGGCCGGGAGGGGCCTCGGGAGGCCCTCTGGGGACAGAGCCCAGCTCAGCTCCAGGACGGCAGGCCAGGATCCCCACCTGGCAGCCCCCACCCAAGCTGAGTGCCTGTGTCGCACAGGCCGGGGGCGCTCCAGGGACCCGCCGAGATCCACCCCTGGAGCTGGTGTATCCACATAGCCAGAGGTCAGCTGGTACCTGCCAGGAAGCGGGACACCCGCCTCACCTCTGGGCATGCCCCTGAGGCTGGGGGAGGCCTGCCCAGCCCGCCCACCCTTCACAGAGGCTCACCTGGCAGAGGGTCGGCAGAACCCACACTTGGGCCCTCTACGGCTCCCAGGCCCCAGGCGTGTCCTCGGGGCAGACTCCCAGGGTCCAGGGGATCAGGCTGAGGCTCTTCACCCCAAGCTGCCCTGATCAGACCCCTCACGGCTCCCAGCCGACACTAGGCCCACCGTGTCTGGCACCAGCCCAGCGGGCATGCTGCCCTGCCGCCCTGGAACACGGACCCCCTCCAGCACCCCCACCCTGGGCGGGCTCACCGCCACAGCGAAGATTCGGAACACGGAACCCAGAGCGCCCGCGAACAGTGTTCAGGCTCTGGCCCTGCTAACTCTGTGTGATCGTGACCATCATTCTTTGCTAAGCCTCAGGAACGGTCTTAGAGCTGGACAGGGTGCAGCCACTCCAGGCCAGCCAAACATGTGGTGTCCCTGGCAAGGCTGACCTTCCCTCTGGTGGGCAGAAGCAAGCCGAGTCCCAGGCAGGACAAGTGCTGGGAAGAACACGTGTCGGGGGGTGGGCTATGAGGAGGCTACAGGGGTCTCGGTTTCCTCCCCTGTAAAATGGAGTTAATACCAGGATGCCCCTGAGACAACTGTAGGGAGGCTCAAGTGAGAGCGTAGGAAGGAAACGCCCAGTACAGAGTCAGGGACCAATAAATGTCAACTATGTTAACTGCCTGATAATTGCTGCCAGCTGTCACGGTACCAACCTACCTCTGGCCCCGTGAATCTCAAGAATTCAGTCCCGGAACCCAGAACCCTTCGTGACTGTGCCCTGGCTCCTTCTGCTCCAGCCCACGGGCCACCTCGGTTTCCCGCGAACACTTCAGGCTTGCTTCTAATCTCAGGACCTCTGCACTTGTTACGTCTGTGTCCCTGGTCTGGACCAATCCTCCCTCAAATATCTTCTGGCGTCCCTCCCTTCTGGTCTTGGTTCAAATGTCACCTGCTCAGGGAGGCCTTAACTGCCCCCCCTAAAATGTGACTGTCCCCAACTTCTCCCTTTTCGGCTATTTGTTCCGCAGCACTTGCCACCACTGGGCAAGTAAGCTATTTCTCTTATTTACTGGGTTTACGAAAGCTCAACTCTGTTTTCCCTGTTTTGTTCACCACTGTTCCCCCACGGCTTAGAACAAGGACTGGGACAAGGGTCCCAGTGCTCAATATGTATTCAGCCTGGTCCCTTACTTTATAGGCCAGGCCCAGAGAGATGGAGGTGCTTCCCCAAGGTCAAGGGACAGAGGCAGGCAGGCAGACGGAGGCCTGTGGAATTTAGGGAAGCCAGTCTCTTTCTGCTTCACTCCCCTCCTCCAGGCACTCCCCTTGCCCCACCCAAACTCCAAGTCGGGAGGAGACAAGGCCTCTGATTGCCGGTTTGGGGCACCAGGAGACTGTCTGCACCCTTAAATCCCTGAGGGGCTGTCCTTCAGACAGTGAGGGGCACTTGGGGAAACCAGAAGTGGACAAAGATGCAGTCATGGTGGAATGAGAAGGGGGGGTCCACAGGGGCGGTTCAGAACACCCTTATGATTTCCAGGTCTGTAGGTTTACTCGAGTGGGTGGAGCTAGACACCAAAGGAGGAGGCCTCTGAATCTTACCCTGGATTTCCAGGTCGTGAGCCTGAGGACCACAGGGATGAGGCAGCGTACCCCAAGACTCACAGGAAAGGTTGGGCTATTGCATTAATAATAGAGACTGCCCATTGTATGCCAGGCACAGCACAAGATGGATGATCTCATTTCCCCTCCCCAGTGACACTAAGGAACAGATAAACTCTATCATGTACCCATCTTAGAGGTGACGAAACTGAGGCTCAGAGAGGGCCAGCCCCTTGGCCCAGGTCACACAGTTAAGAAGCGGAGTCAGGATGCTAAGTCCAGGCTGCCCCAGGGAGCACAGGAGGTTTTAGGTCCACAAGCTGGGTGCTGCGGGAACAGGTTGAAGACACTATGGCATCATGGGCCAGGTGCCCAAGTTAGGTATGAAAAAAAAAACAAACCAGACTCAGAACATGAAACTGCAAATCCAGAAAGGCCTCTGGTGACCTAGGACTCAACAAGAAAGCAAAGGGCCCAAGGTCACACACACAGCTATGGCAGAGATGGTATGCAAACCCTGGCCAGTCAGGGCAGAAAGCCAAAGGTGGTGGTGGTGGACTCGTTCTCACCCCAGGCAAGGGCTATCTATGCATGGTGTCCCCGTCCCCCTGCCGCGGGCAAAAGGAAGCATGTCAGAATGTTTGACAAATAAATAAAGCTGGATGAACTAGCGACACCCAAACACAGGGGCCTCCCAGTCACCTGACTCTGGAGTTCTCAAAGGCAATTCCTTAACCCCTGGGTTCACTTGGCTCTGGTGGGGCCTGACAATGAGATTTGTGAGGCTCAAGTGGAAGTCAGAGAAGGGGGTGGAGGTCGGTGCTTGCTGGAGCAGAAACGGTAGGCCCAGCAGGAAGACACTGGGACCTTGTCCTGGGGGCAGAAGCAGAGCAGGGTCTCTAAGTTTGTGGTCTGGTCTGTGGACACCCCCAAGTCCCTATGGAGGAGGTTCATATAAACATCTACATGGGGGAGAGGAAATAGCTGGGTCTGGGGCTTAAATTTTGAGAGAAAGCTTACTGGAAGGTGTGCAGGGAGGGCCCTTACCACCCAGAATTTCAAAATACAGTGTGACAGTTAATTCGGGGGGTGCAGGTGGAGGGATGAGGGTCTATAAACTGAAGCTATAAATCTAGGATGGGGCTTTGGAGGAAGGGTGTCTGGGGCACTCGGTACCTGGGGCCCCTGAGTTGAGGTTCCCAGAACAGACCTGATATGCTCAGATTTGTGGGGTGAAGTCACTACAGCCCAGGGCCCTGGCAGGAGGGCAGATAGGGCCCTAGGGTGTGAAATCTGTATCTGGGGAACCTGGGATAGGGTGTGACGCTTACGGGGGCGGGGGGGGGGTGGCAGTGCATGTCGCTGAGGGGGGTGCCTTCGGTTCGGTGGTCTTGGCGTGGTGGGTCCCCAAGACTAAGGGCTCTTTACAGCCGCGGGGACCCCGGGCTAGGATTGGGATCCGACAGCGTGATGGGAGCAGTCCGTAGCCGGAGGAGTTGATATGGCAGCTCCTTGATCCGAGGGGCTGTCTTTGCATCCAGAAAGCCCCGTGGCTGGGGTTCTGATTTGCGCTTGGAAGGGGCGCTGGGGTGGGGTCCCCAGACTTAGGGGCGCTACTTGCAAGTTAGGAGCAGCGGCTGGAGCTCTGCATCGGGGTCTGAGGCGGGGTTCCGATCCAGGGGACCCGGGATCGCGGCCCCGCAGTTCAGGCTGGCTGGTGACTGTGGGCCGGGAGGGGGGCCCGGAGGTCCTACCTGGGGAGTAGAGCGCGGCCAGCTCGCGGGCCCCGGCGTGCTGCGCGCCCCAGCGCCGGCAGAACGCCGCCTCATCGTCTTCGAGTTCCGGCTGCTGGCCCGGCCCGTCTTCGGCGCCCGCCATGGCCCCTCGCCCGGCCAGCCGGTGCGCTCCGCTGGCTGCGGCGGCTGCGGCGGCGGTGGCGGCGGCAGGTCCGCGGAATCGCGGCGAGATCACGCCGCCCAATGACTGCCCGGCCCGGGGCGCGGCCGCGGCGCCGGCGGGGGACCTCGCCCGGCCGCGCGTCACAGCCAATGGGGGCGCGCGCCGGGGGCCACGACAGCCAATCAGCGATCGCCGAGCCGCAGCCAATCGCGGCGCGCGGGGGGCGGGCCCGCAGCGTGCGGAAGAGCCGGGGGGCGGCGAGTCTCGGCCCCATTCGCTCCTCTGCTTGTCGCCGTCGCCCTGTGGGTCCGATCGCTCTGTCGCCACCGGTCGGGCTGAGTTTACCCCCCGGTGCCGAGGGCCGAGGTCTGAGCGGGCGTCTCTTGGGCACGCGCAGGCTGGCGTCTGTGACGGGCAGGGGACGCGCGGGGAGGGCCCCTGGCCGGGGAGGGGAGGCCCCGTTTGAGGGTCCCTGGCCGGGGCCGGTTTCAGGGTCTCCGAGGACCCCGAGCGTCCCCCGCACCGTGGGCCCGCCTCGCGCGGTGCCCCCGGGGACCAGCCTGACCGGCGGGTGGGGGCAGTGTCCCCCGGAGGGAGGAGACAGGAAAGTGGTGAGTCTATGTCAGATTTGGTGAGCGCTGACTATCTGTTGGGCGCCGGGCCAAGAGCTCGACCGCAGGGTGTGTTTTACTCACGGTCAAAAGCTGGGTGGCCTCCTTAGAGGCCCCTGTCACCGCAGCGCCCAGAGGTACCCCCTCTCCGGTCACTGTGACATCACTCCGCCTTCCCAGTGCTCGTCGGAGCGGACGGTGCCAGGCTCCCGCCGCCCCAGAAAGCAAGCTCCCCGAGGGCTAAGACTTGCTGGGTTCACAGCCGCTCTCCCACGTCCCGATCAGCCTAAGTAAAGTGAAGTGTAAGTCTCTCAGTCGTGTCCTATTCTTTGCGACCCCATGGACTATAGAGTCCATGGAATTCTCCAGGCCAGGATACTGGAGTGGGTAGCTTTCCCCTTCTCCAAGGGGATCTTATCAAAGGGCTCGAGTAAATGCTTATGGAGTGAATTAAGTCTCAAATGAATTTATTACCTCAGCAGGAACTCGACCGGTCTAGCTCGCTACAAAGTACACGGTAATTGCTCACATAAATTTCACAGCGCGTCACCCACCAGATGGGAGCTAAGAATGTTCAAGAGGTGGTGGAGGGACCGGAGAGGTACCCAGGGAAAACAGGGAGGGGAGGTAAGAACCCATTCTGTAGGCCTCTTTTGGAGGCTCCATCCTTGTTCTCTGAAGGTTTAAGCCCTGGATTGTCCCGGTGCTAGGAACAGTCAGTCACCCCAGGAGTGCTTCCTGGGTGTTCGCACCCTGGGCGGCCACTAACCCCCGCCAGACCCATTCCCCTTTTCTGTTTCTTCGTCTATACCACCTCCCAGGAAAGAAAAGCGCGCTTCCTTGGCAGGGAGAGATTGCAGTCTGCAATTCACATCCTGCTGAATTCTGGCAAAACTGGCTGGCTTTGCCTTCTTGTAGTTTACACAGTTCAAATTTTCAATCCAGGAGATTAAGGTGCCTAGTGTTGGGATGGGCTGGATCTCAGATTTCAGGGACACGCCCTTCCAAGCTCTGCCTGCGTCCCAGACCTCCAAGCAAGATGAGGTGGCTGGTCCTGCTGGTGTCGGGAGCGCCCCTAGTGGCCAGCACAAGATGGGTGATGGACAGACAGGTTATTCATTTGCTCAGGGAACACATCTGTTAAGCACCAACCTGGCCCAGGTTGCTGCAGGGAAGGAGCAGGGGACATGACTGTCACATTTTCTCCCACTCTCCGGCTGTCTGTTCACTTTCTTGACGGTGTCCTTTCATGCACAAAATGTTTTTACTCTTGATGAAGTCTTATCTACTTTTTTCTTTGTGCTTTAGGGGTCATTATTTCCTCATTTTTTAAATACCGTCATCATTTTCCACTGTGTGGCTAGATCATAATTCATTTAACTAGTGGTTTATTGATGGATGCTTGGGTCATTTCCTATCTTTGACTGTTATAGACATTTTGCTCAATGTCATTTTGGCACGTGAAGGTAGGTCTATTGAACTCACTCCTGAAGTGGGATTGCTTTGACAAATGTTAACTGCTTAGCCATTTTGGTAGATAGAGATAAACCTCTTGGTAGGTAGGTAAGCAGATATTGCCACTGGAATCATATAACTAATTTATATTCCCACCAGCTGTGTTCAAGCATGCCTGTTTTCCCCAGTCTTGCCAAGAGAGGGTGGCTAATTAAGTTAAGATTAAAATTTCAGTCCTTCAGTTACACTCAGCACATTTCAAGTGCTCCGTAGTTACACGTGGCTGGAGGCTAATGAATAAATGCAGATATAGAACATTTCCACCATTGCAGAAAGTGGGCAAATTTTAGTAAAGAATTGTACAGTGACCTTGACCTTACATTTTAGTAGGATCCTTGGGCTGCTAATGGGAGGTGGACTCAGAGACTGAGGAAAATCAGGAGACCAGAGAGGAGGTGACTGCAATAGTCCAGGTAGGAGGGGTCGGATGGTCAGACTAGAGTGACTGTGGAGGTGGGAGAAGTGGTGGGTTCTGGTTGCATTTTGAAGGTGGAGTGGCCAGGACTTGCTGGTTGATGTCACGGGGGCTGAGGGAGAGGTCAAGGATGACTCTCAGGTTTCTAGCCTGAAGCACGGGAAGGATGGAGGTGCCATTGCCTGAGCTGGGAAGAACAAGGCAGGAGCAGGTTTGGGGAGGGGAGACCGGGAGTTATGTTCTGGGCGATCTGCATGCGAGATGCAGGTTGGACATCCCAAGCTGCGATGTCCAGGGGCATCAGGCAGTTATTTCTGACCTAGAGAATGACACATGATTTTGGTCATCAAGTTAGAGCAAAGCCAGAAATGAAGGAAGACCCAGATTACACACCCTAAGGTGGGGACGAAGAAGAAGCTTGGTCTTTGAAGCTTGGAGTCTCACAGCTGTGTTTCTGAGCCTCTGTGGGTCCATTTTCATTCCTCGAAGTGGAAAGAATAGCGCTTCATAGGTTTGTTGTAAGGTTCACAGTGAGCACCGTGAGAGGTGGGGTTCTTGGCAGAAATGTTGTTACATTTGATTATGAGGGTGCTGGGGTGAGATCGACACCCTCTCCTGGCAGTCAAGGCCATGCTGACTCTCCAGCCTCCTTTCTTGTCACCTCCTATGGTCATCCCCCTGCTGGGCGTTTTACAGACACCTATAAAAGCACATAGAACCCTTTCTGGGAGATTCCTGGGGCCGTAACCTCTGTGGGGCCCAGTTCCTAGGCACAATCATGCCTCCCTTCCCTGGGAGCAGGTGGGAATAGCAGATGAAAACTATGTTTTAAAAACTAAAGCATCGATGATTTAAAAAAAAAAAACCCTTTTAAAATAATAATTTCTGAAAAATAAAATTTACAGAAAAGTTGCAAAAACAGTACGATAAATTTCTATATATCACCTTCATTCATATCCCCCAATTGTCAACATTTTACTGCATTTATCATTTTTTCTCTCTGTGTGTAATTTTTCTGAACCATTTGAGAGTCAGTTACATAAAAAAGATACAATGTCCTTTTACTGCTAATTACTTTAGTGTGCATCTCCTAAGAACAAGGACATTCTCTTACAGGACTGCTGTATAGTTTTCAAAATCAGGACGTTTAATGTTGATACAGTGTTATAGCCTCATTCTTATTGTTCTTATTCAAATTCCAATGATTATCCCAGTAAGACCTGAAATCTTACTCTTTTTCTGAAGTTTCCTTTTAATGGGAGGATGATTGCTTACAATGCTGTGTCGGTCTCTGCTCTTCCGCAGGGTGAGCCAGTCCTGAGTACACGTGTGTCGCCTCCCTTTTGAAACTCCCTCCCTCCCCCGCCATTCCACCCCTCGAGATTGTCACAGAGCCCTGACTTGAGCTCCTCGTGATACACAGCAACTTCTTTCTAGCTAGCTTTCTGAAGTCCTTATTCTTACACTAGTGATTACCAAGGTCATGGACCTCTTCCAAAGAGATAAATCGTGCACCTGTCCAAAGAGAAGAAAACCAATGACAGCCATGAATCTGCTGAAGGAACCTGTGCTCATATACCCTGTTTGCAGGCTCTGTACATTGAGAGCAGTGTTTCTCAACTGGGATGATTTTGCCCCCCGCAGGGGACATTTGGCAATGCCTTGAAGCATTTGCAGCTGTCACACCTGTGATACGCCGCTGGCATTGCATGGGAACAGGCTGGGAATGCCGCCAAACCCTACCAGGCACAGAACAGAGAATCTCTGGCCCAAAATGTCAGTAGGGCTGAGGTTGAGAAACTGTGACCTATGGGTAAACTGGGGAGAGACGCCACCCTCAGTTGTAATTGGAGCACCCCCCAGATCTACATTTCACCCCAACAATTCTCTCTCCCCAGCTACCCTGGAAAACCCTGCTCCTATAGGTGTAGGGAGGGTCAGCCAAGTCTGTTCCCTATGGCTTCAAATTGGAACCAGCCCCCATGGCCCATCAGGAGGAGACTGATAAACAGTGTAGTCACATGGTGCTTGCAGCGTTTCCTTTGGCTCTGTTCGCGTGCGTGCTAAGTCACTGCCGTCGTGTCTGACTCTGTGCGACCCTGTGGACTGTAGCCTGCCAGGCTCCTCTGTCCATGGGATTCTGCAGGCAAGGATACCGGAGTGGGTTGCCATGCCCTCCTTCAGGGGATCTTCCCGACCCAGGGATCTAACTGTGTCTCTTACGTCTCCTGCATTGTCAGAATTTCTTTACCACTAGCACCACCTGAAAAGCCCTTGGTTTTGTTTGCTGCTTGTAAAATGGGGTTGGGAGATGGGCTTGGAAAATGAAAGTCACTCAGTCGTGTTCAACTCTTTGTGATCTCATGGACTGTAGCCCGCCAGGCCCCTCTGTCCATGAAATTCTCCAGGCAAGAATACTGGAGTGGGCAGCCTGTCCCTTCTCCGGGGGATCTTCCTGACCCAGGGATCAAACCAGGGTCTCCTGCACTGCAGGCGGATTCTTTACCAGCTGAGCTTCCTGGGCTTGGAAGGATGCCAGGAACCCTGGGCCCAGCAGCTGCTTTATGACTGTGGGCATCACTCTCTGACTCATGCATGATTGATGTACTGGGATTATTCGTGGACATGTCTCCAAGCTTCTATCGACAAGAGGTTGCCCTGGAACGTCTCCCCACTGGGATGGAGGGCGGGGCCTCTGCTGAGTCACCTCTGGCCCTGGGAGGCTGGCTCTGGGTATGGCTCATTTTAAAAGCAGCTGCCATTTCCTTTCTTTCTTTCAAAACATTTATCCTTTTATTTGCTGGTTTATGCCTTTTGTACAGTATAAGTGGTTACTGGGCACTTGAAATGTGGTAGTCTGAACTGAGCTGTGCTGCAAGCATAAAATACACATTGCAGCAGCTGCTGTTTCCTTAGCGCCAAGTATAGACCAAGTTTAATGCTAAGCCTACACTGTGCCTCTCAGAAAACTCCCGCAGGGGATTAACACACTTACTTTCCTGTCTCCATTTTTTAAATGAGGAAACAGGCTCAGAGAGGTCATGCCACACAGTGGGGAAAGGCAAAATTGGGATTCAAACCCAAGAGGAGTAAAAGTCCAAACTTGGTGTTATTTCCAGTCTGCTGCACCTTCTCCACACATGGTAGGTGCTCAGAAAATGTCTGAGTGGCAGAGAAAGGACAATATATTCACTGGAAATAGAGCCCTGAGTTTTAGAATGAAGCATGATGGCTGCCTAGCTATGTTAGCTAACGACCACTGTTCGTGGTCTCCCTTACAGCAGTATAGGACATATGACTAGTTTCAGCCAATAGGATGAGAATGGAAGTGGCACAAAACACCCTGGTTTGTGCCCCTGAAGAGGTTGACTTTTACTGCTTTTTATCTACTATCTACTAGCTGGAATGTAGACGTGATGGCAGTGCTAGGGCAGCCATCTTGGACCATGAGATGGAAACCATGGGAAAGAGTCTGGGCCACTAAAACCATAAAGCCATCATCCAGCTCTGAACTGCTTTTGTTCAGATTGATGTGAGAGAGGAAAATAGACTATTTTCTTGTCTAGGAGACATTTGTTATTTGAGGCGTTCTTACAGCATTGAGCCTGTATCTCATCAGTGCATTTGTTAAATGAACAAATGGATGACTGAGTGACAGAAGTGGTAGTCAGATCTAGGCCCACAAACATACAAAAATGCACAAAGATGGCATTTGAGCCTAGGTGGGAGCCAGTGGAGCCAATTTCAAACCTGGCCCTTGTGCTAGCTTGCTCTGTGCCCCTGGATAACCCACAGGCCTTCTCTGGGCCCCACCTTCCTGGGTTGTAAATCAGACTTTGTTAAGTTCCCGGCTTTGCATGGAACCTATGCCGTTTAAAACTGTTTCATAGCTCTGTGGAATTCTATTTTTTAGGAATCTATTCCCAGAGAGATTCTCACCTGACAGCCCATAAACACGGTGTAAGGATGTAGCTGCAGACGGATTATGGAGCAAAAGTTTTTCTTTAAAGGTGATTAAATAAACTCTGACAGGTTCCTGCTGGGGAGTTCTGCACAGCTGATTGTGGCCATGATGACTTCTCTTGTGACACCTGCTGGCACAAAATGATACTGCAGCTCAGCTCCGCGAAGAATTGGGAATTTCCAGAATAAGAGGTTCAGCCGTGAGGGTCATTTGGGACGCCACAGAGTAAGGAGCAATTTAGAAGGAAGGCCAAGACAAGGAGGTGGGCCTGGCTGTGGAGGTTAGGAATACAGACCTGGTTCAATTTCCGGCTTCACTATCTACTACCTGAGTGAGCTTGGGACCTTCTCTGAGCTTGATTTCCTCTTCAATAAAGTGAGACTCCGACAGATGAGTGAGACTCATCGTACAGATGTTTGGTGAGGATTTGATGAGCGTTCACTCATTTCATTATTTACTGAACCAACATTAAGCGACTATGGCGACTCTCATTTAGGCCATAAAGATATGCCAGGACCTGGAACCTGCCCTCATGCAGTCTTGTTGGGGGAAGGTTATTAAAAAGAAAACCCCACAAAAACCACACATAGAGGATACTTTCAGGTACAGATGACACAGTTAAGGGAAAATAAGGCGGGAGAGGGGTCTGTGTGGCTGGTGGCGCTGTCACAAATGAGGGGCTCCGGGGTGGGGGGGCATGTCCGAGGGAGTCTGAGGAGGGGCTAGGAGGAGGGGCGTCTTGTGTGGAAGACATACAAAACAGTGGAAGAGCCTGGTCCATGATACATGCTCAGTACACGGTGGATCACTGTCTCATGACACAAAGGAGTTAAAGGGGAGACTGGAATGCATTTATTTCCCAGGGTCTGAGGCCATCACAGAGAGTGAGAGAAGAGTCTTGGGGGCCTGACAGGTGGAGACCTGACCCAGCTCTGGGTGGCCCTGGCAGATCGCTGTCTGGGCCTCCACCGCCTCATTTGGAAAATGAGGCTGACAATGTCCCCCTTGTGAGATTGGGGTTGTCATGGGCTGAATTGTAAACCAACCGCCCCCCACTCTCTGCCAGGCACCGAGTCATTCATATGTTGAAGTCTTGGCCCCCGGCATCTCAAAATGGGACTCTATTTGGAGATGAGGTCTTTAAAGAGATTATGAAGTTAAAACAAGGTCACCAGGGTGAGTTGACCTTATAAGAACAGGGGATTATGACACACGGATGCACAGAGGCCAGAAGACGTCCATCTGTGAGCTGAGAGAGGGCCTCAGGAGGAAGCAGCCTCGAGCACACCTTGCTCTCAGACTTCCAGCCTCCAAAACTGTGATAAAAGACGTTTCTGTGGTTTAAGCCGCGTGGTCTGTGGTGCTTTGTTCTGGCAACCCTGGCAAGCCAACACAGGGTGATATATGCATACAGACAGGCACCCCGAGGCCCTCAACAGAAGCTGATTCCCTTGGCCCAGAGCCACGAGGAGCCTCTCAGCTGTGCCCGAGTCCTGACTTGTGAATCCCGGCATCTTGTAGAAACCAGAGGCGGCGTGGGATTGCTGCAGTTCCTCCGCAGCCTGGCCCACGCGGTGCCTGCGATGGGCCCTGCCTCCGGGACTCAGCTCACTTGATTTCTGCCCTCTCGTCTGGCTCATTACTCAGTCGATCCACAGACTTCGCAGGTAGCACTGTGGCCGTTCTGTGAAATATGGCATGGCTGTATTAGCGAGGGTCCAGTCTGGAAAATGGAGACCACTGTAGGCGTTTCAAACAGAAGATGGGATATCAACACAAGGAGTTGCTTATACAGATGATGGAAGAGCCGAGTTGCTAAATGGGCAGCAGGAGGCATCCTGGGCTGAGCTACAGCTGGAGGGCGGGGAGACACAGGGACGATGTGGTATCTCTAGATCCAAGAAGCCAGGGCCGGAGCCGTGGCGGGGACTGCTGGGAACTGGGACCGGGAAGGGAGGTCCTGCTGGGGAGGCACTGGTCCTCTTCGCCCTCAGACCTCTGTGCTGCCCTTCCCTGGCTCTGCTCTGCATCGCAGAGAGACTGACTGCTGCAGATTGCACTTCCCAGGCTCCAGGTCCGCGAACTTCTCATTGACCAACGGGAGGTCCTGGGGGGGGATGGGTGGTTTGAGGAAGGGAGAAGCCAGGGTATTTTCCCCTGTCTCCTCACAGCTTGGGCTGCGTCTGCATCAACAACCGAGTCTCCTCCACAGCTCGGGCTCCCACAGGACGTTCCTCTGTGTTTCCAGCTCTGCTGAGTTACCACAGGCCCTGGACCGCTGTCATATTACCCCCTCCCTAGGTCCCTCCGCTTAGAGATGGCAATGCCCTTCCACTGCTGTGAATTCTTTTCTTGTTGTCTTTTTGGTGAACTGTTTATTTTTAGATGGCAACCTAATTCTAAGGGATCTTCTCCAAAATACACTCTAAAATATCTTAATCTTCTCACAATATACATGAAAATACTGCTAGTCTAGAACATTTGCCCCATCAAAATCTATAGAAAAATTTAAAAAAATCTTAACCAATGCAAGAAGGGAAAAAAAAACACCCAAGGTTAAAGAAAACCTCCCTCCAAAACTGAAATAGCTTAGGCATTTAATTTCTTTTCACTGAAAAGTTGGAAAAGAATGATCTAAAGCGCTCTTCCAAATAGGTCTTCCCTTCAGTGGCCTGGTTGAGAAAGTTACTCCGTTGTCAGTAAAGTCAAGGCTTCATCTAATACCCTGGGGTTCTGCCAAGTTCACTCTTCTGAGGCTTCAGTGAAAGGTTTGATTCTGATCAGGTGCCTGCAAAGGTCTGCCAAGAGGGCAGGTGTGCAAGCCAGGGCAAGCCATGCCTGGTCAACAGCTCCAATCAGTGGACTCTTGATGATTCCATGCTCGGCGCTTCCAAGTCTAGGTGCATTGAAGAACTTCCTATGTGAACTGTCATTCTACGTTTCAATAAGGTACTCACAGGCATGTCCTGTGCTGGGCGGTCCATCACAGGAGACCGTATTATCCCTGTGGGGAGGGGACCCGGGGGGAAGGAGGGGGAGCCATGAGTTCTAAACCGCTTCCTGGTTGGCTTCTGGGCTCCTGTATCATCTCTATAAGCAGTTCCTGGTTGGCAAGGCTCTGCTTCAATGCTCAGCGTTTTCCCTTCCTGATATGAAAGCAGGCGGGCAAGTGGCCCGTCCAGCCGCCTTTCCAGTGCCCACCCCCTTCTTACAGATAAGATTGCAGTGCCCTCAACAAAGGAAACTATAAGCAAGGTGAAAAGACAGCCCTCAGATTGGGAGAAAATAATAGCAAACGAAGCAACAGACAAAGGATTAATCTCAAAAATATACAAGCAACTCCTCCAGCTCAACTCCAGAAAAATAAATGACCCAATCAAAAAATGGGCCAAAGAACTAAACAGACATTTCTCCAAGGAAGACATACAGATGGCTAACAAACACATGAAAAGATGCTCAACATCACTCATTATCAGAGAAATGCAAATCAAAACCACAATGAGGTACCATTATACTCCAGTCAGGATGGCTGCTATCCAAAAGTCTACAAGCAATAAATGCTGGAGAGGGTGTGGAGAAAAGGGAACCCTCTTACACTGTTGGTGGGAATGCAAATTAGTACAGCCACTATGGAAAACAGTGTGGAGATTTCTTAAAAAGCTGGAAATAGAACTGCCATATGACCCAGCAATCCCACTTCTGGGCATACACACCGAGGAAACCAGATCTGAGACACGTGCACCCCAATGTTCATCGCAGCACTGTTTATAATAGCCAGGACATGGAAGCAACCTAGATGGCCATCAGCAGACGAATGGATGAGGAAGCTGTGGTACATATACACCATGGAATATTACTCAGCCATTAAAAAGAATTCATTTGAATCAGTTCTAATGAGATGGATGAAACTGGAGCCCATTATACAGAGCAAAGTAAGCCAGAAAGATAAAGACCATTACAGTATACTAACGCATATATATGGAATTTAGAAAGATGGTAACGATAACCCTATATGCAAAACAGAAAAAGAGACTCAGATGTATAGAACAGACTTGTGGACTCTGGGAGAAGGCGAGGGTGGGATGTTTCAAGAGAACAGCATTGAAACATGTATATTATCTAGGGTGAAACAGATCACCAGCCCAGGTTGGGTGCATGAGACAAGTGCTCGGGCCTGGTGCACTGGGAAGACCCAGAGGGATCGGGTGGAGAGGGAGGTGGGAGGGGGGACCGGGATGGGGAATACATGTAAATCCATGGCTAATTCATTTCAATGTATGACAAAAACCACTGCAATGATGTAATTAGCCTCCAAGTAATAAAAATAAATGGAAAAAAAAAATAAAAATGATTAAAAAAAAAAGATTGCAGTGCCCTCCCCCGCTTACAGGTAAGAACCTGGCAGACCGCAGTGGGAGAGGCAGCTGGGCTCCGGGGACCAGAGGGTGGCCCTAGAGCCAGGTGCGTGTCTGTCTGTCCTAGTTCTGCCGTCTGTCAGCTCTGTAAACTCCATCAGGCCACCTGCCCTCCCTGAGGCCTCCGTCTCCTCACCTGTCACGTGAGGATCAGGGTTGAACCCATTGACACGGGCTGTTTTGAGGATTTGACGAGACATGATGTGGAAAGAGCTTAGCCACAGCCTTAAAAACTTGGAGTAAAGAGGAGACGTCCCCATCAGCAGTTAAAAGATGTGTAACCATCAGAACAGAGGCTGTGGGGCTGCTGGTGCGAGGACCACAGGCCAACGGGGTCAGGGGAGCTTGTGGATATACGGGAGTACATCTCGTGGGGATACGAGAAATAAAGACTCAGTGACAACAGCCCCGCAGACCAGTGAGGAGAGGAGAAGTTGCTCAGAAGATGGTATTGGGAAAGTGGCCCCCAGTGAAACTGGATCTTTTTTAAAAACAAAACAATATTTGTTTGGCTGTAAAGGGTCTCAGTTGTGGCAGGCTCTTTGACCTTCACTGTGGCAGGCAAACTCTTAGTTGCTGCATGCGGGATCCAGTTCCCTTGACCAGGGATTGAACCCAGGCCCCCTGCATCGGGAGCACGGAGTCTTAGCCACTGGACCACCAGGCAAGTCCCTGAAATGAGATCTTTCATTCATACTGAAAACAAAGATGGGTTCTAGATGGATTAAATACAATATGAAGTGCAAAGTTAGAAAAATTAGAAGTTATATATACACAATGGAGTACTGTTCAGCCATAAAGAGAAATTACATTTTGACATGTGCTACAATGTGGCTGGACCTTGAAAACATTATGCTAAGGGGAATAAGCCTGTCATAAAAAGGAAAATATTGTACGATTTCTCTGATGCCTAGAGTAGTCAATTTCATAGAGGTAGAAATCAAATTAGAGGTTTCCAGAGGCTGTTGGGGGAGGATGGGAGGAGGGGTAGAGTTCAGTGGGGACAGAGTTTCTATTTGGGATGAAAAAGCTCTGGATGTGGGCAATGATGGTGGTTGCACAACATGATGAATGTACCCTTAAAATGACTAAAACGGTTAGTTTTATATTATCTATATTTTACCACAATAAAAAAGCACGATGTATAAAAGGCAAAAAAAACCCCAATAAAATTTATTTTTGATTATGTCCAAATGAAGGAATTCTGACCAAAGGACCCTATGGACAAAGTTAATAGAAAGATGTTAAGTGTAAACACATCACAGTGTCTAAGACTGCAGTGCTTAGAACATACGAGAAACTCCTGCAAACGACGACAGAGAAGACGGCAGCCCCAGTGGAAAAAGAGCAATGGATGTGAAGATCGATTTGCAGAAGAGGAAAACTGCAAGCACAGGAGGAAGGCTCAGACTCACAGGTGAGAGGAGATGCAGGGAGGCGCTGTCACTTTACGGCAGTTAGAATCAAAGTCGGACAGCACCTGGGTGTGCGCCACTGAAAGGATCGAGGCTGGGTAAGGAAAGTAGAAATCACGCCTGAGATATCTCGCTGTGTCAGAAAATGAGGTCATGCTCCAAGAACAATGGGGATGTGGTAAAAAGACACAGGAGCCAGCTGAAAGGGGCCGACAGAAGCCATGCAGGACCCATCTGAGCACCGAAACAAATAGTAGTGATGATGGAAGAAAATAAAAATGGGACAAAATAAGATCCACGAGTCCATATTGATGTAAGCGAATAAACAAATGAACGGGGGTAAGGTGATTTTAAAATATGGCTGCCAACGCTTCGGCTTCCCTGGTGGCCCAGTGGTAAAGAATCTGCCTACAGTGCAGGAGACGCAGGCAGGAGGTGTGAGTTCTATCTCTGGGTTCGGAAGAGCTCTTTCTCCCCTGGAGAAAGAAAATGGCAACTCTTCCCTATATTCTTGCCTGGAAAATCCCAATCCATGGGGTTGCAAAGAGTTGGACACAGCTGGGTAATTGAACAACAACAGCCATAACAACCAGTTCTTTGATACTCTTCAAGGGGTGGAACCAAATTCACCTCCTCCTGAGTAGGGACTGGACTCAGCGATTCGATTCCAATAAATATAATATGGCAGAAGGGAAACTACCAGGAAACTTGGTAATATTAGGTTGGCCAAAGAGTGCCTTTGGTGTTTAAGTAAAAATAAAAGACAGTTTTCATTTTCATCACTTT